TTTATTTTAAATAATATATATTATTTATAAAATATTTAATATATTTAATAAATTATTTAATATATTAATATATTTATTTATATTATATATATTATTATTATATAAAATATTTAATATATTTAATAAATTATTTAATATATATTATTTATAAAATAAAATAATATATATTTAGAGAAAATAATTTCCATGATGTTGAGAATATTTTATAAATGTGATAGATTGATATGGGACGAGAATTCGATCTTGGGATTTGTCAAGTTTCGATAACACGAATCATCGAGTTAATAGATTTTAGCAATATGGAGATCAAAATAATCTATTGTACGAAAATATATTGTTTTAACAAATTTTTTTGGAAAATAATTTTCCAATTTTTCTGTCAGAAAGTACAATGTGATTCTTTATATCACAAAAAGGAAATTCGAAGTCAAGATATAGAGAATGGAGAAAATAATATTTCTTTTTTTTTTATTTGAATATTAAAAATCATTTCAAATAAAATTGATCAAGTAATTTCAATCAAATTTCTGAAACATATACAAATCGAATGGAAAATCAAATATATATATTAATTGATATAATATTTTTCTGTAAAAAAAATATTAATGCATTTCTGACAAAAAAAACTATTAATTTAAACGATATTTTATAAAATTTATCATATCAAAGAAACCACGAACGATAAATACGATAAATTTTGATTGAAAATTCAAATTAAAATGTCAAATAGTTTCTAAAATTAAATAGTTAAAAATAAAGTTAATTTTCACACGACTTGTATATGATATTCACCCGAAAAAAATAAATAAATTATGTCCTTTTATATTATCCAATTTAATTAATTTTTTTTAACGAAACCATTTTTTTTTCTCATCACAGAAACCGAATTCGATATTTATCAAGTTATTTTCTTCATCTATTGAAATGGCATCGCGTTAAAATTATCCAGATGAATTAACGTATTCAATTTCAATGACAGTTGAAAGCAAAAACTTTTATTCATTTCAGCTTCGTTTTCAACATGGAATCACATATAAGAACACGCTGCTAATTACCACTCATATACGACATACTTTCATTGATTATTAATTTTCATCAATATTTTGTTGTGACGAAAATGATTATGCGTATTAAAATCGTTAAATTTTTACGTTTCTTTATTATTATTTTTTTTTTCATATTAAAATTAATACAATCAAAATATATTCCCCTTAAATAATCGAATTAATTAATATATATATATATAACCATATCGATTATAATAAAATTTCAATTTTTAAATTTCTCCTCGTGACTCCACTCCTCCATTTCCTCTTAATTATCCACTAATTTTGAAAATAGGCTCGGTCGAGGAGGGTAAGAGCTCCCGTTCTCAAAACAGTTTCAAAACGATGCGATAGGCTTGCCTGCCATGCAAATTGCGGAACGATGTCACGCGAGCATTAAGGGAGCACTGGGGACGTGGCCCCTTTCTTTCTCACCGTTCCTTCTCGAACGATGTGCAATGCATTAACGAAAAATACATCTTGTTTATCTTAGTAATCAACTTCTGACAACGGTTCGTCGTCAGAAGTTTAAGCAAATATCAATTTGAAGAGAACACGAAGGACGTTGAATTTTTCATTTCAAGCATGCATTTTAATCTTCCTTTTTTTTTTTTGTGTGTGTGAGCTTTTCTAATGGCTTGTTTTCTATCTGTTATTATTTGATTATTTGATGTTCGGATGAGATTTATTTTTCCAGTGAAATTGGATCATTTAAAAAATCTTATAAGTTTTATAAAGAAGGATCAAAAAATAAATTTAAGTGCAGTTTCATAGAAAAAAATTGTTGACGAAAATTTAGAATCGTAAATATATTTTATCGAACGATTCATTTCTTTAGAGTGGATATATTTAAGAAATTTCTAAAAAAAAAATGTGAGACATTAAAATAAATAATTTTATCCTTGAACTTGTTGTTAGATTGGATAGAATTATATGCGAAATATGATACGATGAATGCAAAATTTTTAGGCATCCAAATTTTTTCTTGTTCAAATTATTGATTTAATGGCTTGATTTAATGATTCTTTAGTTATATTCTAAATTAACATCATTTTTTTTGCATCACTAATTCATTGTAATTCAGATCGTATTATTCCTTTGCATTTATAAATATAATTCCATGGAATTTGTTTATCAGTTAATTTTTATTATAAATTGATATAGATTTCTTTTTTTGTTTGGATTTCAAAAACTGGATTATTTAAATATTGGATTATTTAATTTAATTAATTTTACAAATTTAATAAGTTTTATTTAATTTAATTAATTAAATTTTACATTTGAACATTTGTACGAAAAGAGTGTTCCACCCGTTATATAGTATAAATAAATAAGTAGTTGAAAGGGTTATAAAGATAAAATAGACACTGTTGGCGACTAATTCGCTATAAAATTTACGTATAATTACAGTTTCGTTACATCTGTTATTTTTCTTTTTACTCTCAGATTTTTGTATTGTGTTATATTAAATGTCTTTCTTATTTAACAATCTTATATTCTTATTACTTTAGCCTTCTTTTACATAATTCTTCCTCTTTCTAATTACATTTCAGATTTAATTTTTTTAATATTGAATAATCAAATAAAATATCAAATTAATATCAAATTAATAGAATAATCTCTATTAATAAAATATATCATATTTAGATTATAAAATTTACGAATGTTTTATTCATTTATCCATAAGTAAAAATTAATTTGCTAAATAATTAATTAACGAACGAAGAACCATTTAAAATTATGTCTAAATGTACAATTACATGTTTGTTGCATTTAAAGTTTGAAATTAAATTTAGGGGAATAGTATAAATGAAACATCTGAATAGGATTGATAGGAAAATTGTAATTACATATCTCAAAATAGAAAAATTTTTT